TGTGCTATTTATACAGTAATTAATTCAAAATAGGTCACTGTTCCTAATATCTTTCCTAGAGTATCACCCTCTTTTATTGGGAGCACCTAACATTTCCAGAGTCTTTTGCCTGTGGTGACTTTATTGTCATTGTGTTAGGCAGTACCTGTTATACTGAGTGGGTCTTTCCCTGGATTATATAGCAAATGCTTTGGTATATCCTTTGAAGCACTAGAATCATTCCTATGAGACCAAGGGCTTTACATAATACCACTGGTTGATATGGTGTTGGGCAAAAAGAATAAACAGTAAATATCAGAACTAATTCTTAGCCAGACATCGCAGCAGATCCCTTCACAAGGGTTTTCCTGGAATATAGGGATTTGAAGGGCTTTCTTTTCCAATGAGCCTGCATACCCTCTGTTGGAGATGCTAATGGGCAGCAGTATATCCAAGCACTTATTCTAAGAAACTATTAAGTGAAGGCCTTGAAACTAAGAAGAAGAGAAATGCCAGAAAGCCACCTTGAGATCATGGCACATATGTTACTAGGGACAGACAGCTTGTATGCCAGAGTCAGAAAAGGAGTATTTTTTAATTACTTAACCATGACAGATTTGAAAGGGACAACTGTGGTTATAAAGCGAAGAACAGTTCTTAGGCCTATGTATTGGTTTTATATTTGTGCGTAACAAATTACGACAAACAGCAGCTTAATGCCATTTATTATCTCTGAGTTTTATAAGCCAGAAGTCTGGTACTCATGACTGGATTCTCTGCTCAGAGTCTCACTAGGCTGACATCAAGGTGTCAGTTACACTGGACTTTTACCTGGGGGCACTGGGGAAGAACCCACTCACAAGCTTATTTAAGATATTGGCATAATTCATTTCCTCGTGATTATAGGATGGAGGTCCCCACTTCCTTGCCTCTCAGCTTCTAGAGGCTGCCCCATTCCTTCCCTGCATTTTCAAACCAGCAACAGCACATTGATTCCCTCTAACACTTGAATCTCTCTGTCCTACAGCCCCACAGGAGAAAGCTCTGAGTTTAAAGGCACATATGATTAAATTGTGCCCACTCAGATAATGCAGGATAATCACCATATTTTAAGGTCAGCTGATTGGTAATCTTAATTACCTCTGCAATGCCACTTTAAACATGTAACATAACATATTCACAGATGTGACACTAGGAAAAAAGTCAGGAGGGCAAAATTCTGCCTATCCCAGCAGAGATCACTTAGGGGGATTTAGATAAGGTTTTGCCCATTCAATCTCAAAAGTTTAGAAAATAATCATTATCATTTGTGTGATCTTTTGATTATAAAGTATAAAAAATATACTGCTTTCATATGGATAGCCTTTAAACTGGGAAATCAAGTCGTGTCTAAATAAATTAGTTGACATTTACATAATTAGTTACATACGAGCACAAAAGTCACACATTATGTATTCTCTTTATACATTTGGTTAGTCTTGCTTTCCTTAACGATATACATTCTATCTCATAACATGAGGCCGGCATTTTTTTTAAAGATTTTATTTACTTATTTTGAGAGAGAGAATGCAAGCAGGGGGAGGGCAGAGGGAGAGAGAGAGAATCCCAAGCAGACTCCCTGAGATCATGACCTGAGCCGAAACCACAAGTTGGACATTCAACCAACTGAGCCATCCGGGTGCCCTGAGGCTGGCATTTTAACATGCGGGCAATCAGAGAATTGACAAGTATATTTCTAAGGTAGATTCCTAGATGGTTCGCCGTGGGATGATGAATGTTTACTACACGTAGTAACAATAGCTGCCATTTACTGAGTGCTTACTATGTGCCTGGCACTGTGTTTTACCCTCATGTGCTATTTTATTTAACCCCCACAGTAATTTTATGATGTATGTCTTACTGCCCTTCTTTTGAGGATGAGAGAACAGAGTTACATAGAATTTGCCCACATAAGCTGTGATGTTGCAGAGCCAGGATTCAAACTCAGATATGTTTGACTCTAAAACCTTGCTGTGGACCACTATCTTTCACTTTTTCCCAAACCTGGGAAAAGTTACAAAGATGGCAGTTTATCTTTGAGAGATCCTCCCACCTCCTTTTCTAAGCTTTCTTCTATCTCCTGGCTTCTAAGGAACCTATATCCTTGCACTGTGCTTGGTGACCCACCTATCATAGTAAGTATTCTGTCTACCCCTTCAGTCCTCCAGAGTTAATGCAGGCCTTTATCTCAGGACAACTGATACCTCTGAGGTGATAAAAACAGCATGGTCCAAATAGTTTAGGGCATAATAATGACAATAATATTAGCTGGTAATTATTGAGCACTTATTGAGTGCCAGGCACTGTGCCAAGTACTTGACATGCATTTTCTTACTTAATCCTCATAACAACCCTGTGAGGTAGGTACCATTATCATCCCCATTTCCCACACGGAATTTTGAAAGCAGAACTTGCAAGTCTCTAAGTGACTGAATGTGTGAGAGCATCAAAGGAGCCCCCTTGGCTGCTCTGGGCCATCCTAATCATTTCCCCATTGCAGAAGATTATTATCAGCCTTGTGGCTCCTTCATCTTTGATTACAACCTTCAGTCCAGAATTTCTTTCACCACTTCCTTTGCCGTAATGCAGGCTCTTTCTTTCAGAGTCCCAGTATGGGCATTTAAGGGTGGAGATGATGCCATCAGGACAGAGCCCTCTCGGTAGGACAGGCAATGGCACACAGTCCATAGACTTCCAGGAGGAAGCATAGAGCATCTCCATAGAGAGGAGAAGGAATCCAGGGACACAACAGTGGCCAGAGGGGAGCAGGCATCTGCCTGAAGCAATCTTCCTGAGGGCTATGGAGTCCAAACATGTGGAGAAAGTAGATAAAGCAATCACACAGAACAAGGATGATGGGGCCCTTTATTAGGGGGAGCTGTTCCCTTGGAAGGGGCAGCAAATCTGCTGAGAAAAAAAGCAGGACTACAGTCAGATTCCTTCCTGTAGCATCCTGAGCGGCCCCAGAGCACTGGGGGCAGGCAAGGAACCAGCACTTGCCTGGAGGCTGGGGTCTAAGGCTTTACTGACAGCCCCTTGCTAGTGTGGTTGACTTCAGGCTTCTACTTCAAGCCACTCTCTAGAAATCCACAGGAAATAACAGTTGTGCCTTGAACTGCAGAATAGATACATTCCACAAACAGATTTAAATTGAATCAAGTTTTAAGGACAGTGTAGACATTTGGTGTCTTCAAATACTGCTACATTGACTCCTTTGGTTATATGAACAATGTAACTCAACTTCTGTGTTTCATAAGTTTATAATCTAAGATAGTGGGTTTTTCTTACATTTAAGGTTAAACAACAATATTAACTGCCCTTTATTAGGCCTGTCATTGTGTCAGCAGTAATACCTATTAAAGTATTGCATCCTGGTCATAAAATGTAACTGAAATTACTGGAAAATATCATACCGAGTAGATGAACTGTGACTATCATAGTTTTAAAACCACAAAAATGTTGTCTTTATGTGTGAGTGTATGCTCTCCGTTTTTTGATCTTCCTATATTAATGAAGATTGTTACTTTAGGGGAAGAATTAATTTTATTTTTTATTTTAAATACTTTCTCCAAAAGTTGGACTCAATAGCATTGCTAAAAAACAAAACAAAACAAAAAAACCCCTCACTTTTAATCTATAATTAAAGCCAAAGTTTTCTTTTAATTTTAAAAGCTTGTCCTTGAACTAAAATAACATGGAACATTTTAAAACATGGCTCCAAGCTGCTGTAGATACATTTTATTTAAACCACAGAGACTGCAGTTGGATTTCTCAGTGCCAGACAGACTACAAATTATAACTGTAGCAGAAACGACTGTGAATTTCTGGATGTTGTAGTACCAGCAAGGCTGGTTGTTTTTTTGGAGCTGTTCCTCCCTGGGTTAAGATCAAATGTCATGCCCATAGCCCTGTGTAGCTGAAGCAAGCAAAGGCCTTCCCCTCTCCACACTCCCCCGCCCCCCCCCCCCACAGGTTTGATGTGCTCACCTGCAGAGGAGCAAGGCAATAGGTAGGAAGAGTCACAAAATAGAAGCTGTAAAGTGAGGCTAGAACACAGTGAGACTCCAAAAGTTGGATGACCGATAAAAATATCCTTTAAAGCAGAATGCCATTGTTTATTATGGCAAGAAAAGGGGATAATATCCATGATTGAACTGTAAAAATATTTTTACTAAGGTCATTTTTGTACTTACTATTCTGGTATTAGGTTAGCAAATCTAATGCCAGATTAGATCTAATAATATATTGTTGTTCTATGGACTTTAGAAAGTACATGAACATCTGTTATTTTATTTGATCGCCATTACAACTCTATGAGGTAAAAATAAGGATAATTATTCCTGCTTTCTCGCAGGGTGGGAGGGAGTGACCCACTGATGCACAGCTACTTAATGGCAGAGCCAGAAAGAGAAGTTGAGTCTCTCAGCTCCTCGTTCAGGCTTTTTCCACTCGATTTTACGGTGTTTTCCATCAAGTATACTCAAAATAAAAAAAAATCATTTATGGAGTAGAACTCTCCAAAACAGTGACTCTTAACTTATTTGGAGCTGTTCCTCCTTTTATACATGGGCTGCCTTGAAAACTGGACAAAAAGCTTTGGATCCTTGTCCAGAGGAACGCACATCCATTCTCCCCACCCCACACTGTAGTGTAACCCAGATAGCAGAAGAGGTCTCTTTGATTCTTTAGAACTAAAAAGGATTCTCTTGGACACTTTATTCATGGTGTGGAAGGTCGGGCCCTTCTGAGGATTCCTGACTATGCCCGAGGGTTCTGTCTTCCAAGAATATGTCATTGCGTACTTCCCAAATTGTGTTCAGCTTATGGGTCGCATTGCCATCTCACATATGTGGTCCCTGTTCTGCAACACATTGATTCAGATATGAAATGTGCTCCCTTCCTCAAATGTCAGTGCATCCTTCCACTCAGAAGATGCGGGCATGTAGTAGACTATGGACAATTTGGAGGGAACAGAGGAGGGCCATATATCATAGCGGTTCACATAGCTTCTTATGGAGCACTATTTTTCCCTATTCTTATGTGTCCTTTAGACATCCCACATAGGATTCTTCCTGCTATGCCTGACATGGTCCCCAGCCTCACAGCATCTCACTAGTTCCTTGTTTCCACCTTCCACCCTTTCTTACTCACCCTCTAATTCCCCAGTTGTCTCGAAATCTCCCAAGTTCTTTCATTCAGTGTAGTAGAATCCAGCTCTCTCCTGCGTCAGCTCCCAAACTCTGCTCCAGGCCTACCTTTGCATGCTCAAACCCACCCACCAAAATGCTTCATTACCTTCACTTTCTTTATAAAGTATTTATGATATTAAATGGCATTTTATTTTGGTCAATTATACATGTTTATAATTTTAGGGGTTTCAAGGATTCCCTTAAACCCAACCATCATTCCCCCTAGGTTTTGAGATAGTTCTGGGGTGTCTAGTCTTCTTGGGACTGTGAGTTTAGAAATTTCTTGGGCTTCTTCTTTGGAACAAAGTTAGTGGTTAGTCACAGAGTGTTTTCATAACCTCTGCAGGGTTGAATCCAGGTCAGGACAGCTGGTGTGGAGGTCACTTCTGGGCTGAGGGGCCCATACTAATGGATTTGCCCATTCCATCTTCCTGGCCAATCTGGAAACTGAGGGTGGCATCGAAGCTTCTGGGAAAAAAGAAAATCAATGAATCCAGCAGAAAACACTTTCGTTCATGTTTATGTTCTATTAAGAAAATGATACATGTATTATCAGGAAAGGTGAAGAACATGATATAGGATTAGAAATTGGTATAAAAAAGTGGATAGTGATTTTAGGAAAAGAGTTGATTAGGTAATTTCTTCCATTTGATTTAAATTTGCAACTGTGTTATTCTAAGAGATACATTCTTTTCTCCAGTGATGGAGTTTCCCTTCTTGGTGATGGTCTGTGATTTCAAAGCACTGTTGCTTTCATTCTATTTCCATTTCCAGGGTATTCTAGCATGTATAGTTTTGTCCTTACCTGTGATTGAGCAGGGCAAAAAGATTTTCATCTTACTTGAAAGCAGTGATATGATTGGGCTATAGTTTATCATATTTCTGAGGGAAGCTTCCCATTCGGTCCCATGATATGACTTAGAAATATCACTGGTAAACAGTGTTAAAAACTGGCAGAGGTATGGAGTTAGGGATAGACCAGAAATGTCATTATAACCTCTAGAGTTCTGAAGTTGTGTTGAAGGGGTAGAACTCCTCAAAGTGGAAATTAGGCCCTGTCCATGCTTCCCTCCAGCGCTGGAGTTCCTTCTGTGGTCCCTGGTCCTTAGCTTACTCTGATTTATCAACCAGAGGAAGGCTGGGAGGATGTTAAATCAAAGGGGCAATTTTAGATGCATTTCGCCTTCTTTAACCAAGTCATCACGATTAGACTGTTCTCTTCAAGTCCTTTCTGCCATCATAAAAGGACTCAGCCAGGGTCAAAAATCACTTCGTTCACCTCTGTTTTAATCACCGATCATTTAAACCCCGGTACTTGAGGTAAATTATATATTAATTTCTTACCTGGGAAGGAAGGACTGTTTTAATGTTTGACTATGGATCAGATAACTCTATCTTGATAAAGAGCTAGAGAATCTGATTTTGAGAGAGAATCATCTAGAAAGATAGTATAAATATGATTACATGCCAGGTATAAGAAATAATGATATCAGAATTAGAAAGACAGAAGAAATGTGTAATAGGAAAGAAAAACTAGATGAGAAACATCAAAAAAAAAAAAAACCTACTTCATAGTGATGTGGGAAAAAGAACATTTGAAAAGTTATTTGGATTGAGAAAGGAGACAGCTAGAGGAAGAAAGGAAAATCAGAATAGAACAGAGGAATGACTCTTATTTCCAGATTTTTCACATCAGGGTTTGCATGCTAAAGGATCAGAGAATTTTTAAAAAGCAGGAATTATTGACAAGTTAGGCCTGAATGGGCTCTTGAAGGAATTTGTGGATTCCATGTTGAGTAGTGTGGGGTGAGTCTTTAAACTGGTAATCTTTATTTATTGAGTACTGTGGGACTTATGTGTAAGCTTTTTATAAGCCTCGTTCAGTCTTCTCCCAGTGTCCCATAAATAAGATAAAAACGTACTGTTAAGGGGGGAAAACTGTGTTAAAGTGTGAATGGAGTCAGCAACATCAAGGATTCTTTCCTCCTCATGCTAATACAGAAACTGAAGATGAGCTGGTAAAAGGGGGAAATGGTCATCATGACCAATTAGTAGTGAATCTGGAATAAGAGGTTTCTATAAACCAGGGATTAAGAATGGAAAGCAAAATACATGGCCACAGTCAAGCCCTATCTTATCTTCAACTTTTTTGTTGTAGGACAATTCTAGAAACGTCTGCTTTCACAGGAATGCTGTAGGAAACTATGGACATTTTCAGTACTTTCAAAGATTCTTCAAAATTCACTATATCACTATGAGAGTTAAGGAATGGCTCATAGAGTGGTTCATGTGTGCATTTTATCTAGAGTCACTTAGAACTGTGCCATCCAATATGGTAGCCTCTAGTCACATGAGGCCACTGAACACTTAAAATGTGACTAGTCCCAATTGAGATGTGTTTAAATGTATGGGGGGAAAAAAAGCATGGAAAATATATTATTAATTTTTCTATTAGATGTTGAAGTGATAATATTTTTGGCTATATTGAGATAAATAAAATATTTTATTAAAATAATTTCATCTTTGGGGTGCCTGGGTGGCTCAGTCAGTTAAGCGTCCAACTCTTGATTTCAGCTCAGGTCATGATCTCAGGGTTGTGAGATGGAGCCCCATGTCACACCCCGTGATGGGTGTGGAGACTTGCTTGGGATTCTCTCTCTCCCTTTCCCTCTGCTCCTCCCCCTACCCCACCCCACTTTACTTGCATGCACGTGCTCTCTCTCTAAAAAAAATAATATACATATTTAAAAATTTTATCTTTTACTTTTTGCTTTTTTAAGTGTGTCTACTAGAAAATTTAAAATTGCTTATGTGGTTTGCATGTGTGGCTCACATTGTGATTCTTTTGGACAAGAGTGGTGGTGGTAAGAGGCAAGTTAGGGAAAGAGCTTCTCATCACAATTTTGTCAAAGTTGAGGAAGAGACATCAAGGAGAAGGAAGTCAAAGTTCTATTCGGTTGAAAACTGGCTGATATTCCCTCAGTCCCACTCCAGAGGAGAAATGAATCCTACTCTTAAGGAAACCCTGCTATCTTCAAGGTCCTTCGTGCTTCTGGCATAGAGCCACATCTGTATCCGCTCACCTTTGTTTTGTTATCGCCACCAGAGCTGCCAGAAATCAGTGTGAAGGAAAGAACTAGTTTTTTGTCCTCATTAGATTATGACTTCCCTAAAATACAGATTCTGATCCCCACACCCAACAAGCTGGTCTGTAGTTGATTTTCTCTGTGTGTTAAGGTATAAAGAAAATGTGTAGATGAATGAATGACTAAATAAATGAATGGTGCGCAAGAAAAATATAAGTCCAAGTAAAGGATCAAAGACCTTGCGATGGTCAGTGGACCAAATTAGAGAAAAAGCATGTGAAGTTGGAAGCCAAGTTTTTTCTACAACAAAGTGTTAAACACTCGACAGTGTGCACCAGTGATCCCTATCTTTATAGCCAACTTGTCTTCTAAGTGGTTGGTGTACCAGCTGTTAAATACTTTAATACTCTCTGGTTGGAAGAATTAGGTTAAAGAAATTCTTTAAATCAATGAAGAGAGTTGTTTCCCTCTTCATGGATAGATTGTAGGAGAAAATTATTTGGAAAATTTGCAAAAGCTAGCATTATCCACTTTTCCATTTTTTTAAGGGTACAAAGTTGACCTTGGTTTATTGCTGCTTCTTTCTTTTTTTTTTTTTTTAAAGATTTTATTTATTTATTTGAGACAGAGAGAATGAGAGACAGAGAGCATGAGAGGGAGGAGGGTCAGAGGGAGAAGCAGACTCCCTGCCGAGCAGGGAGCCCGATGCGGGACTCGATCCTGGGACTCCAGGATCATGACCTGAGCCGAAGGCAGTCGCTTAACCAACTGAGCCACCCAGGCACCCTATTGCTGCTTATTTCTGATAGAATAACGCACAGGCCAGTTTTAACTTAATCTGCACGTGTACGACATGAGTCACTGCTTTCAAATAGAATTTTTTTTATAGAATATAAGCTTCCATTTAGAAAAGTAGAGTTGGTTTTCTCTTAATAAATTCCTCTTGAAATTTCAAGTGAATTAACCAGAGGAACATTTTAGAGTAGGGTGGGAAGAAAGTTCTATTTTATTTTTCATTATCTTTGAAATTCAAAACTTAGTTTTGCACATCCACTGCTTTTTCCTTGGTTACCTCTCTGAGGGCAACTTCCCTCTGTTACACAATTCCTAGGACCCATGGAAATACTTCCATCTTAATTTCTTTTAAAATAAAAGAAAAATGAACATAATCACAATGAATACATAGCAAACATGGATTATATACATTTATATGTTGATGTAGTCATAAAATATAATTTTAACATTTTTTAATGTAGGAAAGAGTGTGCAAAGACAAAAGTATCTAGAGCACACAAAAATTATAATGCAGCCCTGAGCCTACTGCTTAATTCCCTCAGGTCCTTCTTTCTGCTTTCCAGCATGACTATTTTATAATCTGGCAGTCTAGCATCCCAATAACGTAATATGTACTAACATGATAAATTACTCTCTCTTCATCGGTTAGTGAGTCTGGTAACAAATAATCATTGAGAATCTTTTCTGCTATGTACTGGTTTGCTTTTTTTTTTTGCCTATTATTTTTATTTTATTTTATTTTTTTATTATGTTATGTTAGTCACCGTACAGTACCTCATTAGTTTTTGATGTAGTGTTCCATGATTCATTGTTTGTGTATAACACCCAGCGCTCCATGTAATATGTGCCCTCCTTAATACCTAAAACAATGAACATGACAGACAGCATATGGGAGACAAGCATTGAACAAAGAAGTATGCCAAATACTACAAAGAAATACAGGATACTATAAATATGTAATTGGGGGATGTCATCTAAGTATATTTTTTAAATATTTAACTTTTAATGTACCCTTACAGAGATTCCTTAATATTTAAAAGCAAATGCGAATGTAAATTATTATTTTCCCTATTTTATATAAAAGTTAGACTATTCAACTCAACAGCAAAAAACAACTCAATTAAAAAATGGGGAAAGGAGTTAAATAGACATTTCCTCATAGAAGATACACAAATGGCCGATAAACACATGAAAAAATGCTCAACATTACTAATTAGAGAAATGCAAATCAAAACCAGAATGAGATACTGCTTCACACCCATTCGGATGGCTACTATTAAAAAAAAAAACAAAAAACAGAAATTAACAAGTGTTGGCAAGGATGTGAAAAAACTAGAACCCTTGTACACTACTGATAGGAATATAAAATAGTGCAACCACTATAGAAAAGAGTATGCTAGTTCCTCAGAAAAGCAAAAATAGAATTACCATATGATCCAGGAATTTCACTCCTGGGTATATACACAAAAGAGCTGAAAACAGGGACTCGAACAGCTGTTTGTAACACCCACATTCATAGCAGCATTGTTCACAAAAGCCAAAAGGTGGAAGCAACCCAGTGTCTGCTGACAGATGAATGGATAAAGAAAACGTGGTGTATACATACAATGGAATGGTATTCAGCCTTAAGAAGGAAGGAAATTCTGACACGCACTCTACAAAATGGATGAAGCTTAAAGACATGATTTTAAGTGAAATAAGACAGTCACAAAATTTCATTCTCTCCCTGTGTGTATATACATTCATATTCTTTTTGCTATGGGACTCTCTTGTGGATAATGTTTTATTAATTTGAAGAACACATTATGGAGTAGGGAGACACTTGTAACAAATATTTTGTCCCGATTAACTATATATGTTGTGATTTTCCTTTTGATTTTTCCCCAGGTAGCCTTTAAAAAACTGTAATTATGTTTAATAATCTTTCTCTGTATGGCTTCTAGATTTGAAGTGATAGAGAGAAGCCCCTTACTTCACAACTTTAAAGGGGGTGTCAAAAGTTTTCTTCTGATATTTCTATGGGTCCCAATGTTTACCTTAAATCTTTTATCTATTTGGACTGCATCTGAGTTTGACATATGGTATCATATGATGTGAAAAAAATATTCAAAAAATATTCTTTTTTTTTCCCCACATAGCTACTCAGTTATCCTAATACCATTTAGTGATCTATCTGTCTTTCTCCTTCTTCCCTGGTGGAAATAAACCACATTTTAAACTGAGCCTGTCTTATCTTTCTATTCTCCTCTACCGACTTCTGTTTTTACTCATGTTCCAGTCCCACACTGTTTTAATTATTGAGCCTTTAGAATATGTTTAATATCTGGCTGTGTTTATTCTCATTCTTCTTTTTTCATAGTTTTTCTAGCTATTGTTGTTTGATTATTTTTCCACATTAATTTTAGAATCAACTGGTCGACTAAAAAAAACTGTTTTGTTAGTTTTATTGGAATTGTGTTATATTGACAAATTAATTACAGAAAAATGGTATTTTAAGGATGTAGAATCATCTTATCCAAAAATTTGGTATGTCTATCCACGTCTTCTTTTGCGGCCATTAGTAGAGTTCTAATATGTTCTAAATAGGTCTTGCATATTTCTTGTTAAATTTATTCATAGGTATTTTATCTTTTTGTTGTTTTGTTGTTGTAAGTAGAGTCCTTTCTTTCATCACATTTTTCTAACTGGTTGTTGTTTTTTATACGAGAATGCCATTGATTTCTATATGTTAACATTATACTCTGCTACCACCATAAATTTGCTTATTGTTTTTGGCAGTTTTTTGGTTGACTTCCTTGTGTTTTCTAGTAATACAATTACATGACATGCCAACAGTGATGGTTTTACCTCCTGCTGAAATTTTTGCCATGATTCTTGCCCTGCCTTGTTGCATTGACTTGTACCTCCACGTGCAGTGTTAAATAATAGTGATGATGGTGCACATTCTTATCCTGCTTCTGACATTCAGGGCAACACTTCTAGTTTTTTCCCATTATGCACAATGCTGGCTTTTAGTTTTCAATCCATGCCTTCCAATTATGGCTTTTGACATTGAAGCTCTGGGTTCAGATATTCTTTTCTCTACCACTAACTAACTGAAAAACATTAGGTAAGTCATCTAACATCTCTGATTTATTTCCACATCTGTAAAATGAGGGAGCTGTTGATAATGGTCGTGAAAGCACTTGACAAGCTATGCAATATGAACGTCCCTTGTTATTCCTGTTTCCTCCTGTATAGAGTCCCTCCCTACATACCTCTTTTTGGAATTGTAAAACTGGGTTTCCCTTTGTGGCTCCGAGCCTTTTTTGTAATTCCATTGACTACACAGTTTCTACGTATATTCCAAGGCTGGAAAGAAAAAGTGCTTTTTGAACGATGAACAAATTCCTTTGCTGACATTTAACCAAAATGTATTCCAAACCTGAAGCTTTTTGGAAGGCTAAGAAAATGTTGGTCACCTTCTTGTAAAAAAGTGAAATAAAAAATGTTTATGTACCACAGCACTTCCTGACTGAGCTGGAAATGAGTGCACTGAGGTGGTGGTATTTTGTGGTGTTTCAGTTCTGGGAAAAATGAAACCAAAAAATATAGGAAATTTTTCAAGATTTTTGGTTGTGAAAGCTTTCCTTTTTTTTTCTTCTTCCAACTTTGGTTAACATTGAGAGAGCCATCCAAGTTTGATTCAGCTTCACAACTTCGGCAAACTCATTCCTGTCAAGTGATCCGCTAACTAACACTTTCTTCTGTGTTAAATTCTGTGTTTTAGAGCGTGGACTGCGTGGTCGGAGATACTGATGGCTACCATTCCTTTCTAAGACATAACACGGCTGCCTGATAGCCCTGACTGAACGTCAGATAATTTGCACATATAGGGTTTTTTTATTCCTTTTTAAAAATGAGCTTCTGCACTAGTTTTTGTGCAGGGTTATGCCTCGGTCCAATCTAATAAGATGGGCAAATTTACTTTTCCTTTGAAAGAAATCCCCCAGCAAGTGGCTCCGTAACTTAAAGGGTTTTCATTACTTTAATATATCAACTGGCCCCACAGCCCCCATGCCCGGAAAGTAAACTGTGCAGTAATCTGTCTGTCCCCCATGTTTTCTAACACCACTTACCTTCCTCTTTGAGGCAGCTCTCATAGGACCTCGGATTCAAGCTGTGAAAGTAATTTCTTTCTAGCAGTAACAGCCTTCCTCACTGGGCTTGCTGTTTCATCAGTGGCTTGGTCATGTGGCTGGGCTTCAGAAGAGAATTTCATACTCCCTCATTTTCCTGGATTCAGTTCTCTGACTACATGTCGAATCTGAGGAATCTGCCCTTTCTAGAATGGCTTGCGGACGCAGTTTTGCATTAAAAGCTAATGAGGCCTACATGTATGCTCTTGCAGAGACTGGTATGAGTAGGACACTAGTCTCCAGCACATGTTATAGATTTCTTTGCTGTCCTTAGAGGCACGCACACTGGAAAACATATTCCTTCTTTTATATATATATATCTTTTGTGAATCTCAAAGTCAGTAAGAGAAAACAATGGGGGGACGTGGCATAAGGTACATGGATCCATTCAGTTTTTTAGAGGGAAAGGCTTTTAGAAATCTTCGCTTATTAAATGTAAGTGGCAGTTGCTAGAACAGTAGCATTGCCATCCTGTATGTTAGTCCACTTTATGGAGCGCTTCTCAAAGCAAATTTAGAAAATTAGAATAAAGGCCACACTAGAAAGCATTAAATGAATCAGTCAAAAACTAAACCTTTCACAGACATGGCCTGCACTGCTAAAGAGAGCTGGCAAAGCAGAATATTCATGGCTCCCTTCACAGACCACCAGCACTCCCAACGAAGGGCTCCATCCCTAAGTTAATTCAATAATAAAACAAGACTCAGGGTTGAAAATAGACTCATTTCCGTGGAGGAAAACTCTTCATAATTCTGCAAATTAAGCTGAGTAACCCAGAAAGTGACAGCATGCGTTCCATTTGTCATTTTTCTCATTACTACATTTCAGAAGACAGAACCATCTCCCTCTCGTTCACTACTGTGTTACCAGCTGTTAGCAAAATGCAGTAAAGATCTGTTGATTGATTGGTTTATTGATTGATAGCCAGGGAATATAATAAGTACTTCCACCTTTGAAACAATCTCAGTTTGTTGAGGAAAGTATCTTTTATTACGTAAATACAACAGCAAGCAAAGTAAATATGATGGGCCAGAATCAATTCTTAGGTAATCAGGAACAGACTGTATGCTGTGGAAATGGTTTACATTACCCCAAAAGCAAAATTTTGCATTTAGTGTAAGATATGGTGGTAAAACATTGAGCTTTTGCTTTCTACTGATAGTGTAAACATTACTCCAAGATGCAGTCTCTGGAAATAATTTAGTTAACTCTTATTTTTATATGCATGTTCTGTTCTGGAGACTTGTTGCAAAAATTGATGGAAAGTTATTCTCTTTAAGTGACAGTTTGTTTACAGGAATTCCTTGAAATCTTGATGGTTATTGAAAAGACTGAAATAAATGTTGCCTCAAACTGCCTGAGGCAGAGCTACCCCACACCTTCCAAACCAGTACCATACTTTGTTAGTAAATCACCTAAACTCCATAAAGGTCATGGAGACTGCTCCCTTTGTAAAATGAAATATTTATGTTTCATTCCCAAAAACATATTGTGGATCATTTTGGTGTTTTAAGTTGAAGGTACATAGTAAATTATTCCAAAATTATGGAGGCCAAATGTCATTCTCTCCAAAAGTTTGTGTAATATCTATTTATCTGTGGGCAGATGACTGCATAGCATAATCAGAGGCAGACTTTGTCATGTTAAGTCTAAGTAAACACAGCTGAACATAAGCAAGTTGGACTACAAGGTTTTTTTGAGCTTTGCCAACAGCATATGACCTTGGAGAATGCTGCTTTTTTTTTTACTACAATCTTCTGCTTTTAATGGAAAAAAAAAAAGAATTCTTTTTGTTTAGAATTAACAAGTGATGATTAGAAGCTTGTTATGTTCTAATTTTTAGATGCAAGACGAATAAACATCATGCACGCACCCAACAAAAAGCCACCTTCCTGAGGGAGTTATATTCTCCGTCAGGGAGCTGAATATAAACTGCGAGGGTGGAAGCCAATTAAATGGGGCTTCTTTCTAAAAGAAAACTTTTTCGTGTTTATTTGTATTTTGTTCTTTGTCCTTCTGCCATTTCAAGAGATTAAAATTGTGGTTCCAGATGCCATTAGAAAATGAACTTTATTGATTTACCCATTCTTTAAGAAGCATCTGTCCTCAATAGCAAAGAAACTGTTTTGTCATTAACTTTCAGTTTTCAGTAGTAACTCTCATTAACTGCTTTAGGCTTTCCACAAGTCCTTTTTTTCCTTTTTTTTTTTTTTTTAATGCAAGTTTCTTTTCAGTCACCTAATACCTTCTTCTTTTAGCCTAGTATGGGGTCCAATATTATATTTTTTTAAGGGCACTTTGTGGCTAAAATAAGTTCCTATTAAATATTTCATGTCAAAAAGTGGACTTTAAGTGAGAACTTCGGTAAAAGATGGATTAGTGGAGATTTGTCTGGAAACGTCTAGCTTTTCAATATTCTCAGACTGGCGAGCGGCCAGATAGATCCTCTTCTCTTCCCGTTCTTTCACTTAAGGAAACTATTTTTTCCCCTTCGCCCTTCGGGTATACATTTCCTTCTCAGAGCAAATGCAGGATGTATTAAGGATATCTTCTCCTTTCAGGACCCCCACTCCCTGCCCTTGCCTTTGCTCCCTCCCACAGCACTGCCCACAAGGAGCTGTTGTCATTTCTCTCTCAAAGTGTGAGTTGCTTAGGGATGAGATCCATTAGTAATTTGTATTTCTAGGGCCTACCACAGTGCCTGGCATATAAGATGCGTTCAGTAAATGTTTGCTGTGTGACCCATGGACTCATGAACAAGTAAAGACAACTTGGAGAAGAGCAAATTCTGTTACACTTAAAATTAAAAGATCTGGCTTCTAGTACTGGCCCTATTGTTTACTAACAATTTGGCCTTGGACCTATCAGTCATTTTTTCTCAGTCTCAATTTCCATACTCTAAAATGGGGGAAATGATAGGTATACACAAAAAGGAAATGAGATAAATTGCACACTTATGACTTACAAGTGTTCAATAAATATTATCATCAACTGAATTATGTTAACGTGACCTAGCCCTTAATTATGCCCCAAAATGGCAGGGAGGATTCGTGGGGATAAAATGATATATATAAAGTATAATTTTCCACTTGACACAAAAAGATAATTTGGTTTTCACTTGGATAAGTTCACATTCACTGTAATGTAGTTGTACATTCTCTATCAAAGTGCCAGCCATCCAAAGATGGCAAAAAAATTTTTTCAAGAGAAATCAAGTATTTCTCACATTCTGCCACGCAGTGGGAAGAACTTTTTAATAATTATCAGTCTCTTTGTAAAATATCAGGAGTATTTAGAATAATCTATACATTCTTGCTCCAGTCAATCAAGAATTTAAAGATATCAAGTACAGCTGTTTAAGATGAAGCTGTGGTACAATTAAGGTCTTTTAAATATGATTTAAGTCGTTATTTTATTCCTTGTGAAAAGGACAGGTATACCAGTTAGATCTTCATAGAAAATTCTTAATGACAAATATTAGAGAAGTAGCTTATAAGAATTGGGAATTTCCAAGGCTGTTTCCCCAAATTCAAGTGCTATATTCTATTGTGAGTAAGGGCCTTCACATGTAAAACTTTCTCCAAGAATTTAAGAGTAAACACTACAACATACCTGTATGATTGCATGGGTAACACATGTAAGCCACTGGTCCAATAGCTATTACATGTGTCAGCCCCAAAATGAGCAGCAAAAGACCAGTTGCTGACATAATCCTGGAATTTGCCTTGGTATGCTCATTCTCACTCTCACCAAAGATTCCATCCTCATGTTTTGCATATTATGGCTGCCAAGCAACTGAAGTGATATTCTCCAAGCCATTGCAAAAGCGAAGCCTTCATAATATGCAGTCTTGCTCCTGTGATAATTCTCCACACTCGAGCATCATAGACATAACATGGCTGGCCTTGACCTAGCTTAGATAATTCAAATACAAAAGCTATTTTGAATTGTTGTGTTGTTATCTGCTCCACTTCAAGGTAAATTTTCCACATTCGTCAAAAGTTGCTGCCACTACAGAGTATTTCCAATTGTGGAATAATTGTAGCTGTTATGTAGTGAGTATTACTGGGTGCCTTGTGTCTTACAGTGATTTTTTTTTTTTTTTTTTCAAACCCTTGTGTCGAGGGCTGACTTTCAATAGATCGCAGCGAGGGAGCTGCTCTGCTACGTACGAAACCCCGACCCAGAAGCAGGTCGTCTACGAATGGTTTAGCACCAGGTTCCCCACGAACGTGCGTTGCGTGACGGGCGAGGGGGTGGCCCCCTTTCCGGCCGCGCCCCGTTTCCCGGGACAAGGGGCTCTCCACAAGGGGCTCTCCGCACCGGACCCTGGTCCCGACGCGCGGCGGGGCACGCCACGTCTTCTTACAGTGATTATTTCTAATTTCTACAAGAGTCCTCATTGTTCAATATTTTTTGTATCTATTATATAGATTTAAAAAAAGGAGGCTCAGAGAGATTAGGTAACTTGCCCCATACCACATGCTAATATGCAGCAGAACACCAATTCAGACCCCAAGCTCTTTGCTTCCAAATCTGCTCTCCTTCCAGCGTACCTTACTGTTGGGGAATCAAGTGTGGTTAAGTGAAGGTACCCTCCACAGTTTGCACTGATGAGCAGAGAACAGGTGTACTCAATTCATGATAAACCAAAACAAAAACACGAATCCCATTAAAAGCAGCTGGAGGAATTAGGTAACGGTTTATTTCTGTGCCTCAAAGACTGCTAAAATTAGCTTGGAATTCCATTTGAAAAATTCTTCAATTAATCATAAATTCTGACTCCTGTTTCTAAAGCAAAATTTTGATAGATGTTTCCAGCACTTGCCCCATGCAACTCCCCTTACTTCCTCTTTTCTTCAGTGTAAAAATAATCTCTTTTCTATTTCTGGACCCACTTTCTGCTTTTCCTAGCCCTGCCAGTTTTTATTATTACAAGGATTAGTTGTGTGAATAATTAATTAAATGCATTTTCACCAAGGGCTTTTTATCACTGCTCATCTTTCATTTCTTTATTCTTCTCCTAGGAGCTCCTGTAAGTCAACTCAAATACAGATTTCTTGCTTCTTTCACTTTGAGACTATTATTGGCCATCTTCTTGTCCAAGTAAGAATCAATATATTATGTTGTCTAATAAACCATTTTATAGAATGGCTTTTATAAGCCTCCTAACATAGGCTGCAAATCAACTGGGTAATGTATC